TATGACTACAGATAACAGAATCCAACTGTAAATTTTTGAATTCAAAATTCTCGTAGTGAGATACAGAACTTATTCATATTCAGATATGAGTGCAGCCCCCAACACTTCATCAAGAAAGCTTCTCTTTGCAGAACAGGAAGACCATTACAGAAAACCACAAGCAATCTAAATGCAGAGTTTTGGACCTCAGTTCCAATGAACACATCTACAAAATAACTCCCTTACCTCAGGCTCAGCGAACATTTCAGTAGAGGGGGATGAAAGACTGTAAGACCCAGAGGATCAGGGAGCTTGCTGTGAGACTGTGCTTCCTAAAAGTGTCAGAAGCTATACCCATTAAGTCTCATCGTTATGACTGCCTAAACATAAGGTAAACAGGATCAGCAGTAGACATGCTAAAGTGGATGAGGGAAAGACGAAGAGACCTCAACCTTAACAAAGAACCACAGGCAGCCAAAGAATTCTGAGAGTAAGAAAAACTTTGTTCTCCAGGGAAGAGCACACCAAATGGTTATCCAATACCAAACGTTCAGCATTGAAAACACACATACAGTAACATTTCACAGACAGAGCAGTATATGTTATATGTAATATATATAACACAGAGATATAGTGCTTCGTAGGGTGGCAAACATTTTACCATGCAGAAAACAAACAAACAAACAAACAAACAAACAAACATGTTGGTATTTAATCACTTGAATACCCCTACTGAAACAGCTACTCTGGTTTTGTTGAAAAGTTGACACCTATTCTTGTTTTGTGGACAAATTGCATCAAGGACGATGGAATTTAGCAAAATTTCTGTCTAACATCAGACAATTGTCTTGTGCCCATAAAAATTAATTAAAGAAGAGGTCATGAAATTGAAAGTGAAAAAGGAGTGTATATGACAGGGTTTGGAAGGAAAAAAATGGAAGGAGAAAATGATGAAATTGTATTATATTCTCAAAAATAAAAGACATAATTTTAAAACTCTCCTGGGCCAGTGTGATGTCTGATAGGGTATAGGAACCAAGCCTGATAACCTGAACTCTGGAACCCTAGTGGTGGATAGAAAGAAAAAACTGACTCATAAGTTTCCTCTGATCTCCACTTGTGTGCAGTGGGACATACATGTATGCACACAAAATAAATAAAAATATCACTCTCTATTAATCATCAAACAAATATAGAAATCATTCGATCTCATTGTCCCCGCCTAAGAATTAATGCATGTGGCTGTTACTGTACATTAACAAAAGGTCAGACTAATGTTCTTCATAGGAAGACCTTGTACATTCCATCTCAAAGGAACAGTAGTAGAATTTAAAAAGGCAACAGGTTTGGTAGACAGAATTTTTGCTAAGTTCCAAAATGATTGATGCGACTTAATCACAAGAACAAGACTGTCTCTATGGGGGTGTTGTAGGGATTAAATAGCAATGTTTTTCTTTCTGTTGGTAAAGTGTCTGACACATGAGTAGGCACAACCTGTAATACCTCTACTGAACAATCAGAAAACTTTAGCAAAAAAAATAATAATAATAAATAAATAAATTCTCATTGCTAAGGGTGTTTTTATTTTTCCAAGCTCATTTACCTTCAATGTTGCTTTTCTAAGTAATCTCACAGATCTTAATGATATCCTTTCCACTTGGAAATCTTTTGTTGTTGTTGCTGTTGTGGTATAGATCAAATCCAGGGCCTCCTGCATATGAGGTAGAGCCTCTACAACCAAGTAAGCTATTCCTTCATCTCTCCATGAAGGTTTATAAAAGTTATCTTTTATAGGTATGCATATGTGTAAGAATAGACAAAGAAAAAATGCAATGAATTTGAGAGAAAGAAGGAAACATGGGAAGGGTTGGAGGGAGGGAAGAATGGGGAAGGAGAATGATGACGTTATAACTTCAAAATCATAAAAATTATTAAAATAAAATGCAAATTTATTTAAATTCATGAAATTGACAACAAAATGCTATTACATTTTAAAAACATTTTTCTGCAGAATCAAAATATTATCTCCAATCTGTGTACTCAGATATAACCATCTTTCTCTGTCCTTGCAATTCTAGGATATGTATTCCACTACTGAAGTATTCTAGCTCAGGAATATTGAAAGCTAGTATTGTGAACTTTTAAAAATAAGAATACTGAACATCATCATATGGATTCAATCAAATTACTACTAATCATATAATATATGATGTGAGGCACAATTCATAGGCATATTTGAAAGTTAATTGTAGAAAGGAAACTGATTTAAGCCTGGTGGGAAAGAGTTTAAGTGATAGTACAATCTTAAGATAATAAAATGTCAGTGCCTGTCTAGTACCTTAGTACCTAATGAAGAACTAAATAATATGCACATTTTATTTACATATTCAACAATGCAGTGCTCTGTTCAGTGAATGATGTTATTCTGCCACTTGGTGGTGCCTGCCAGTTGCAGAATCTGTTTCTTGGTGGCCTGTAACACTAAATGCATCTTGAGTGGGACAGAATCTCAGCATTCCCAACCGAAAGGCTTCGATTGTAGCTGCGGGATAATTTAACGAACCTCTGCGAAAACAACTGTGTTTGCTAACCAGCCACACACACCGTTAGTCATTAACTCCTTTGCAGTTTTAAGTTAGTGAGGGCAAAGTGTCTAACGAAGACACATTCTTACAAAGCACGCCAAAATTTTACTGAGCAGAGAATTCAATAACAATTTTCCTTGCTAAGAGCTTCTGTAAAATTCTCTGTCAAACCGTGCAATCCTAGCGCTGGTTTACCATCGTAATTACTGCAAAAACACATTCTCTCAAGAACTTTAGCGGGACTTGTTTTCATAAGCCTGATTATCGCTGATCCAAGCGTTGGGATGGAAAATCCCAGGTTCTCACTTGGAACTGTGGGTTTGGTGCGGCTGGATCTGCATTAATCATGAATGTTATGTCGCAGGCTCTGCTCCAAGGCATCACTGTTTCTTTGTTTTTGTGATATCTTTGGCAGCTCCATCTTCTGGGCATTCCTTTACCTTCAACAATTCAGTTGCCCCATCTAAAAGCCGATTTTTCTGATGCCTCCAACGTCTGGTCAAATTGATCTGTGTTAATGGAGTCTTCGCTGGTGAGAGATGCCATTGACTGGAACGCGGAGATCTGCGGCCGCTTATTTGCCAGGGGCAAGAGACACCAAGATTCAGAAATCTTTAGAGGTGGGCGGGGGGGGGGGAGGAAAAAGGTAGTCTTGAGAGGGAGCCTGGGTGTGAGATAAAGGGAAGGGGTTCACAGAGGAAGAAAGAGCAGAGGTGGCTTTGAGGCTCAGAGGTGCTTCCTATCGCTTCTCTCAAAGATGAAGTTAAAAGGCAAAGGGGTTGGAGGAGGTTGGAGGTTAGGGTACTTAAAGAGATCGCTGTAGCACAGTTTGTTTTCCGGTGGTGCCTGCGGAGGATTGAAAGTCCCCTTTTCAAAGTCTATTGCTGCCTCTTTTAAGTGATTGGTAAAACACGCTAATTGCGTGTTGGATGCTATCAAACAATACTTAGTCAACATTCAAAAGGTTATGGGAGGGGGATACAAGGTAATTTAAGGAAAGAGAAAGGGGAAGGCACTTGAAAGAAAGGAAAAGAGGGGGTGAGAAAGAAAGAGGGAGAGGAGAAGGGGGAAAGGAAAGGCAGTATGTATGTGTGGGGCGGGTGAAAAAAAAATCCTGAATAACTGAATTATCACACACGCAAAAAGAGAACTCTTTGGTGCAAGGCAGCCAGAACCCTGTGACTGCAGTAGCGTCCAGAGTCACTGGAGACAAACAGTCCATCCCACCCTTGTCCCAGAAAGCTCTGGGCCCTAAGAACTAGCAATGCCTTCAGCTGAAGAGTGTGTCTAACTGCGCGGAGTGCAGCAGAAGGAAGGCAAGGCGGGTACCGCTCTGCTGTTTCCGGAGTGCCAGGGCCAAAGAGAACCTAGAGGAGCCAGAGACTCCTGCGGGGCTGGACGCCCTTGCCTCTCCGGAGTAGCTGGAACGCCCGCAGACGCGGTGTAAAGCGCCCTGGGCTACCGCCCGTGCAGCCCGAGCAATCTCTACCCTCCGCGCCGCTGTGGATTCGCCCTGTAACCTATCCTCAGCTGGGATGCAGGGAAGCCTCCTGCCGCTCCCCAGACCACCTGTCCCGACCAAAATCGACCTTCCAAACACATTCAGCTGCACCTTTTAGACAGCCACACAAATAGGTTCCAGGCTGTTAACAAAGCTGGGGAGAGGGAACCGAGCCTTCAGCCGCCCTAGCGGGTCTGAGCTGCGGAGAGCCTGGAAGGGGAAAGGAGAACCGGGAGTCTGGGGAGAGCCGACTAAACTGGTTAAGCCAGCCTGGCCAGCACTGTCGGGGTTGCAGCTCCTCCAGGAGCTGCTGCTGCTGCTGTTTCAAGCCACCCAAAGCTTTCTGGCTCTTACCCCGCCGCCTCTCGCCCTCTTTCCTCTGTCTCATAGAGAAGCATCTTATGCTTCTTTTGCTACCTCGATATGCCCAGCTTGGATCCCTTTCCCGGCCCGGTGGCGCCGGCGGGACGCCCGCTGCTCCCTACTCTTTTTCCCTTCGCTGCCCTGGGGCTGCGGGTCCTCCACCTCCTCCGCCCCCACCACCTCCAGCTGGGAGAGAAGGCCCCCAGCCGCAGAGGGTGCTGGCAGCTCAGGGTCATGAACGGTAGAGGCGCAAGCCGGGACCCCGCGCGCAGTAGGGGGCGTCCTGGAGCAGAGAAGCGAGGCAAGTGGGATGAAAGCGTGGGAGTAGCCGCCCTGAAGCCTAACCTTCTCCCAGGAGCCATCCCCGCCTAGCCCCGCTCGGGCAAGAGCCTGGAGAGCTAGCCCATCTGTGGCATCAGTGGCCTCCTCCTCCTTGCACCTCCTCGCCGACCCCTCCCTCCCGGGACCTGCATCCCGCTCCGCCAATCAGAGTCCGACTGCCGCTTCCCACGTGAGCCCGGGCGGGCTAAGGACCTGCTGCTTCCCAAACGCCAGAGGGATGCGGGCGGCAGAGCGCGAGAGGCGGCGGCTGGGCTGCGGGGCTCTGTGACTGTCCCTCCACCCAGTCTCGTCGCGCGCCTCCGTTCTGCCCGCTGGCTGCCTCCTCTTTACGTCCTGCTCTCAGTCTCCTGCTCCTCCTCTGCCCCGACCCTGTTCCGTATGGCAGCAGCTCCCTGCGTCTGGGGCGCAGCCTCTCAGCGGACTATCAATTCGCTCCCCGGGCTGAACCGGGTCCCTGGATGTTGCTGAAACTACGGAGATCATGCGCTCCTTTGGCCGCAGCCTCACCTCCGGCTGTCCCTGCCGCCGCCTCCTCCGCTGCCGCGGTCCGCGGGATGCTCAGTAGCTCGCTGCGTGGCCCCCGCGACCCCGTGTTCCTCAGAAGCCGTTGCTTGCTGCAGAGTTGCGCGAAGTAGTCATGGTGCTGTGGGAGTCCCCGCGGCAGGGCAGCAGCTGGACACTTTGCGAGGGCTTCTGCTGGCTGCTGCTGCTGCCCGTGACGCTGCTGATCGTAGCCCGCCCGGTGAAACTCGCCGCTTTCCCTACCTCCCTAAGTGACTGCCAGACGCCCACCGGGTGGAACTGCTCCGGTAAGTACGGACCCTTAACCCTCCACACCTTACCCCCTGAGAAGAGACCTGTCCACCCTCGTGTGTGTGCCCAGCCACTCGCCTTCCACTGCCTGAAACCCAGGACTTCCCACCTCGAGCCCGAGAAAACGGTGGGAACTGCTTCAGCTAGGGCTGGGCTGGCTGGGATGCGAACAAAGTGCAGGTGTGGAGAACCTCGGATGTTCGCCCTCAAATCGGAGCTGAGGGGATTCAGGGAGACACTAAAGGGATCATAGTTTTTTGGGGTTCTCAGTCCTAGGCGAAACACTAACACGCAATATTTCCCATCGTTCAAAAAAAAAAAAAAGTCTAGCCTGCATGTGCGAGAAATAACTTTATGAGAAAGAACAATCGAGAAAGCAATAAATCAAATGATGACTGCAGGGGAAACCGTTAATTCTTCTGAAAACGCTTCTTAATGCAGGTCCTACTCAACACTGGGCCACAAATAATTCTAAAGGAGGCAAGTTTCCAGGGTCTCTCTCTCTCTCTCTCTCTCTCTCTCTCTCTCTCTCTCCTCCGCCTTCCTACTCCCTCCCTTTCTCTTTCATCCTCTAGCTTGCTCCTTCTCTGTCTATAGCTCTGTAGCTCTCTCTTGCTCTCTCTCTCTCTCTCTCTCTCTCTCTCTCTCTTCTCTACTCTCATCTCCTCCTTTTCTTTGGCTGCAAACACCAGTGTTTTTTAAGAGGTTGATTCTGTAGTCAAAGGATGCCCATCCACGCTTCCCCAAGCTCCTATGTGGAAGACAGAAGTTGATAAAGAAGCAAGAACGGATTCCCAAGCCAGAATGGGCATGGCCCAAGCCTGGCAGACTTCTCAGAACAGAGTGACCCGACCACGGTGTGTTCCAGTCCCTCACTTCTGCACTGGGTTTCATGGAGTGACAGGCAGCCCAGTTGCTCATTCAGTCCCCATCAGAACACTGAAGCTTGACAGGCTGCATGCTACTGAAGCCTCTAATTGAGAAGGGCGCAACGACTGAATTTACTGTACTGTACTGGCTGGTGTTACACGTCAGAATGAGAGCCTCTAGTATACCTGAGAAATTGTGGTGTTTTGTTTTGGGGTTTTTTTGTTGTTGTTGTTGGGGGGGTTGTATTTTAAAGTTCATAAACATAAATGGGCATTGTTGCCATGGTCTGGCCTGGTCTCTAGCAAGTGTGCTTATATTTCATTATCTGTAAATAAAATCCTGATACAGTTAAGTCTGCCTTCGAATCAGGTTGCCTTTGGAGATGTGTAAGTAAAAAAGAAGTGTGTATAACTTTTGAGAGGAAGTGATTATTAAGTGTCACTTGTAGGTGGAGGCATGCACAGGCCCAAGGGATGACTAATATAAATCCTAAGGGGAAATTAATATGCACCACTCCAGTTCAGCCTTTGTTAAAACAAGTTGAAATGTACAGGCCTATTAGATTTGGGTCAGTAGACTGACTTTGTTCTGTTTTTGGTAATTTCTAAATTTGGCATTTTATGAAACTCAACATGTCTCTAATTTATTCTTGGTTCCTGCATTCATGTCTGCTATCTTTAAAAGAATAAGTTCCACTTGGGAACATAACATCCTTAAAATTTGATTGTGGCTAATGTTGATGACTTTGTAGTTCAACACGACTAGTTTGTTTCATTCTGAACTAAAATTGGTATAGGGAATGACTACCTTAAAGATGAGGCTGGCAATGAAGAAATGCATTATGAGCCAGATAGCTCAAAGCTGTGTGCACTAACTAAAAAGGAAGAACTGCATTTCTAGGAAGGTTGTCAAGAACTTGGCAGCCCATTCTCATCCCTGTTAACTTGAAGGTGATCAATCTGTCTTTGAACCAGAGAGACATTCACAGAAAGCACCAATCCTGTTTATCTTTATTATTGAGGTTTTGCTTCCTCTTTGATTAGAAAAATTGTCAATAAGGGTCATTTCAGACGTTAAAGCAATTAAAGACAGAGAAATATTAAATGGCATCCATAGGCCATCACCAGATCTTTTCCAAATTGTTGAGTTTGGGTCACTGATATAGCCCACTTAGTCAGAAAAAAATAAATTAATTAGAAAGCTGAGAAGCAAGTATCAAACTTCCATTCACACAGTCAGTATTAAGCTAAGCTAAATTTAAGAAAGCATGCCCAAAAGATGATATTGAAGAAGAATTCACTAGGAAGCTGTTGTAAAAGTATGAAATATTATTGGTCACTTCACTAGATTTTGAGATTATCACTAGAAATCAACCTTGTGGAACATCTGTGACTGTTGGAATTAAATTTTAGGAAAATTTGTCTAATGCCACAAAACAGAGGTTTCTTTAAAAATCCATAACATTTTAAAGTGACTGTAGCACTCTTTTTAAACTTGAGGTTATGATGACAGAGAAAATGATCTCTTCCTGTGTGACACCAACACCTGTAAATTTGACGGGGAATGTTTAAGGATTGGAGACACTGTGACTTGCGTCTGTCAGTTCAAGGTAAGAGATCTGATATTTGCATCTTCAATTCATTAAGGAGAATGCAAGGCAGGGAGTTTCTTTTACAACCCATCATTTGGCAATTTATAACTGTACAGACTCAAAGGGAGGTTGGCATGAAATAAAAGTACTGCCAAGAGAGCAAGCTGATGTCAGGAAGACATATGCCTTTTACAGACCTGTGTATGCCTTAATCAGAAAAGTAAGGGGAACAGGGGTTTTCTCTGAAATGAACTTAGTGGCTGGTTCTTTGATCACCTACCTCCCCCTGAGGGGGTAGCAGCCTTACCAGGCCACAGAGGAAGACAATGCAGCCAGTCCTGATGAGACCTGTAGGGTCAGATGGAAGGGGAGGAGGTCTTCCCCTATCAATGGACTTGGAGAGGGGCATGGGAGGAGAAGAGAGAGGAAAGATGGGATTAAGAGGGGTTGGGGGAGATGCTACAGCTGGGATACAATGTGAATACATTGTAATAAATAAAAAATAAATAAATAATAAAGTTTAAAAAATTGCCACTGAACATAAACAGCTTCAGGTTTTACTTTTCAGATGTAGAATGGAAGTTATGTCTTCCTAAATTGTCTTTGCAACTGACTGAGGATAATTGTCAAAGTAGTCAGTGGATAGAAGGCATGGACTTGTACTTTTGTTCTTCACAAGACCATCATCTCTCCCCTTTTTCATTCTATTGTTGTTTGTTTTAATGGCCTTTGGTTTCCTGTCAATACGATACAATTTTATATTACCCTCTATTAATGTTATTCCAAAACTACTGTGCCAGTTTGGAAATCATGAACCTTTTTGGTATACATTATAGTTTCTGAGACTAGCACCACAAATGACAACAGAGTCTTCTAGGAATCCAAATGAGCACATAGAGCCTCAAGCTGACTCATAAGCAGGATAAAGGTACACTTTGTTATGTGTCATAGACGATTTCAACAGTTCCGTAGAAAAACATAGTTATCATCAAAACAAAGTTATCATCAAAACTAGTTTTTAAAATTAATTGAAAATGATAGAGCCACTGTTGCTATTCAATTATTATCATATTTTCTACCATGAAAATCACTGGACTCTCTTTCTTCTCAAAATAATCACATAATCATATATAACCTCAAATCACTTGGATGAATTAATTGGTTGAATTAATAACTTATAATCACACTTGATTGTTATTGAATTACATTTAAAACAAATATTCACACATAATTTAAACTGAGGCTGTATGCTTATACCTAAAACTATGAACAAGATCAGAAACACTTCCAAAATTATAAGAAATGAAAGTATAAAAAATACAAACCCGAAGTTGAATCTAAATATGTGATTTAATATACAATGTTGAGAATTGATTTAATATTGAATATTGAGGACTTAACATCTTGGTGAGGCAGATAGGAAAATTCACCTTTAAATATGGCTTGAGTTACTTTTAGATAAGATAAAAACTTCCTGGGCATTATTTCCTCCTTTTTGAGAAGCAGAGAAAGCCAGTTTGGTGGTTCAAAGCGCCTGAAGACATTGCCATAGCTTTACAGATGTGTCTGTGCAGACCACATAAATGTGGCATCAGCTTTCAAAGTCTCCACCATAGTGACTGACAGATCACTTACTTCCGATGAACTAAATGAGAGAAATGGAGCATGAGAATTCTCAATTCATAATTTTTACAAATAATAGCCTAAGGGGGTGGAGAAACCCAGTTGGAGGAATCACTAAAGGCTCATAGAATTTTATAGATTAAAAAAAAATTAAAGGAACTATTTGATTTTTAGCTCTCACAGGGATTGTTTCTCAGTCAAGATATTTGCTCTTTTCGTACTGATGAGTGAATATACATTGACTTAAGTAATTGTGGAGTAGGTTAGGAACAATAAGTGAAAATTTGTATGGGGAATATAAGTATATTTCCTAATTTCCTGCTGGAGTATATTGGCATTAACAACCATCATTATTTTAAGAGGGTAAAAAGGCATCTTTTTTAGTAGTAAATTTAGATTTGGTATATGTATCAGAACTATTGAATGTCTAAATCAAGGTGATGACTATATAAACTTGTGCAAGTTGCGTGAAAATGATAAACTATGCTAAGCTAGGAGTTGCTTGAATTGGTTTCTCCTCAGTCTTCAGGGTTTTGATGTTGTTTTGTGGGTTAGTTTACTTTTCTTTCATGTTTTCTTCCTTTCTGTCTGATAAAAAGGAAAGGACCTGAAAATCCTTCTATATAGTAACCTAAATTTCTGTTTCTTGTGCATTTTCAGATATAAGCATGAATTGTTCTATTTAAGATGGGATGTGCATTAGCCTTTCTGTATGTGAGATAAATTTCGAACATAAATGTGTTTATTATGCATAATTTAAAATGTCTTCCAATATCTATTATTACTAAAACACTAAAATAAACATGTAGGATTCTGAGTTCCCTTAGATACTTTAAAATAAACTACTTTCTACCCTTCAAAACTCACTCAGTTCTTATAACTAAGTTAGATAAGTTTGTTTACATAGCTCATTATTTTTTCCATTCCTTCATCCTTCCCTCATTTTCCCTTCTTTCTTCTTCTACAGTGATGGTGCTAGGCAAGTGCCCTACCATTGAGATACACTCAAAGATCCTTTACATCATTTATAAGATGAGAACATTTGTGTCTGCTAATATAAATAATTTCCCATTAAGTAAGTCATTATTCTAGAGTATGAAGCCCAATAAACCAACTATATATTTATATTTAATTGCCCCAATTCTATTTTTTCATTATTATTATGCATGTAAACAACAGCAGTGTCAATTTATTATAGAAAATAATTATTAATCAAAACAATATAAGTTGAACATCTGTAACACAGAAATCTAGATTCTGAACTACTCTGAAATCCATCATGATGTTTAAAATTTCTTGAACTCTTCAAGCATTTTAGACTTGGAGTATTTTGTATGAATAACTCACGGCATTCTCAGCTGAGGGCTCTAACTCGTGCCTGATCACCATCTATTGAGCTTGGCCCCTCTCCACCTACATCTCTTTGCATGGGCTACTTTGGGCTTTAACAAAGCACAGCAGCTAGGTTTCAAGGGCAAGCATCCAGAAAAAGAGGAGAAGCCAAATAAAGCCCATGTCCTGTCATGATCAAACTGGAGAGTCATCGTCACATCCACCATAGTCAAAGCCCTGACCATTTTAAAAACCACCAATACAATACATGCACGGAGATGTTGTCTCAGTAAAATAAAAGTTACTTTAGGAATGGTCAAACAGCAGCTCATACAGATTTTTAAACATTTTCTTCTCCAAAAGAATATTATTTTATATCTTAAGCTATTCTTCCTCAGCCTTTGACAACTGGGAATATAACAGAATTCACTTAACATCTGTTGAGAAACTTCTCCGTGCCAGACTTTGTGGAAGGGGCTGGCGACAGATAAAACAAGTCACATATATCTTCTCTAGATGCTGAATTATCAGCTTTAAAATCCATATTAACCAAACAAGCACTTAATCACATGGAAATTTTTATCATCTTTTTTCCCCCCTGGTACCAAAAATGAATTCCATATATCTCAGAGAGTCAAGTTGTTGAAAAGTCGTGTATGAATGTCTTAAGCAATGTGGAAACCTGGGGACAAAATCATTTTATTGAAAACACATATTTCGAAAATAAGCTTGAGATTTTTTTAAAACATAAGAAAAAATAGAATCACTTATTCCTCATGGGAGATTATATAACACATACACTTCCATAATCTCAGATTAATTTTTTTTTCTTTTTCATTAACCAGAAAACTTTCTAGTCTTTGGTAAGTTGCTAATCATCTACTTGCCCCTTATTCAGACATTGAAAAATGCCATGACGACTTCCAACAACCAGTTTCCAGAATTTGGCATATTTCAGGGCAGCCATTATCCTAGTCTCACATAGAGCGTTGTAGCGTATTCCTTTGCTTTCTTATTCTGAAAGCATAGCACTTCAGTGTGAATGTTAGGTGGTGACTCTGCTAGTAAAAATATGTCATGAGTGGCAGATAATTTCCATTTGCTAGGTGATGTTTACAACGAATCTTGTGCTCTTAAAGCATAAATTTGTTATGCCTCCAAATATCTCCAATCACCACTTCAAAAACTTACAAATGTTTAACCATTGAGTAACATGCCCAACCTCTATATAAAGATGGTGAGAGAAAAAATCCAGGACTAGACTAGACTTGAGCCTTGGTGACTGAGCGCACCCCTGTCCTCTTGTGGTTTTCATTTTAATGAGTGCAAGTCATGGTACCAAGGGCCAAAAGCATCGTGGTGATAATCTACAGTTAAGCTCTTCTCAGCTCTGCACAAATCCCCCATTTGGCTTCTGCATGGAACTTGGCATCTCTCTTTTAAGCACTGTTCACATTTGGCTTACTGCATCCCACAGAAGTGACATATGAGCACTTTATCAGTTTATTAACTATTTTAAGATGCATATCAGCATCGTGTCATAGCATTTGACAAAGATAATAAAATCTTTCACCCCCCACACACAACTCAGTCCATTCGCCTTCTATTTGACCACCTTTCTGAAGCACAGGAAAAGGTAAAAGAGGGAGGACAAAACAAACTTAGACAGATGAAAATGTGAACCCAAATAATCTGTATACCAAGTATTGTCAAGCTTGGTTATTAAAAGATGTCCAGGGGCATGAATTCCAGACCCAAGCACAAGAAGTCAACAAAGCAGCCATATACATCAAGTTTAACTCTCATGTGTCTAAAGAAAAGGCAAGCCAGTCTATTGTCTAGTATTTGCAGCTCCTTCCTTCCTCCTCTCCTCTCCAAGCCTCAGGTACCCCTGTAGCTTTGGAGAAGCCCCAGAGTCCACCTGCATGCTGTTGTCTCAGTCCTAAACCCTGCATATTCATCCAGTACATGATCATCCATTTGTCCTCCTGGCCATGAGTATGAAACTCACACCAGTCTTATTTATTATTTTATTCTCTAATGCTTCTTATTTGAAAACTCAAATTGTCACTGTTGTTTTGCTGTTGTCGTTGCCCTGAGTAGCACCTGGTCTTACAGTAGTCAGCAATCAGAGGTAATTTTAAAAATATGTATATGTATGGAAAGCTCATGAAGATGTCCAATCCACAGGCATCACCTATCAGAAGCGAACTGTTTATTAACTTAAATAGTAGCAATAGATTACCAAATATCATAATCAAATCAATTTCATGTGTAGCTGTATAAACACACTATATCTATAAACCAACAGTATGACTATGGAATGGAATTATTAAATAAATACAGGGTATCCAGAAAACTAATTATTAATTGTAGAAATAAAGATGAAGATTTCTAAGATATGCAGTAAATCATGCTGTTAGAAATTGTAACCATAATAATATGATTGCCATAAAATTTTGATTTGCTGTTTGGAAACATGTCAATTAGTAAAATTTAATATTTAAATTATCCGGTGATAGATAAAAGGCAAGACTCATGTGTCTTTCATTCAGAGATTTATATCACGTGACTTTCTCAGGGCAGAGGACTGGGAAATGGCCAAGAAAATAAAGTACTTACTGTGTAAGCATGAAGACCTAGTTTAATCCACATTTCCGATGTAGATAGCGCACGTCCAGGACTGTGGCTTGGGGAGGCAGGCACAGGGTGACAGGGTGATCCCTGGAGCTTTGTAGATAGCCAGCTCTCTTGCATCTCCAAACTCAGTGGGAAATCTTGACCCAACACTAAGGTAAAGAAGTGATTGAGAAAGACATTTGATGTCAACCTCTGGCTCCTACACACCAGTGCAAACCTACACATGGACCGACAGGCACATACACAATGTACACATTCACAAAATAAGTACATAAAAAAAAAAAAACAAATTTGTCAGGATGACTAAGCTTTCATTTTGTAAAGTTAAGACAGAGCATAACATAGATTGTTGTGAATAAAAGGGTACAGTTACTGTTAGAAATTATAGCATAAAATATGTCTCAATCTTTCATCAACTAAAGTTTCACCTTATGCCACTTTTATTTTATGCTATGTTCTTTAGCATAAACTCTTGAGTTAAAATTTACATGTGATAGACTTTTAAGAATATAGACATGCTTATTAAAATTTCCTTGCTACCTGCATAGGTTGTTGATTTATTTTGTATGAACTGTAAATTTATAGAAAGTCAAAAATTCAAACATTTTACTTAAAAGTCAATAACAGAAAAGCATTTTCACGTGTACCTGCATGCATGGTTTTCCTCACTGTGATTTGGCATAGGCAAACCTTGATAAGAAATCGTCTTGATCATTTCATTTGTTATGATTAAACAATGAAATGCATCAGCAGTAGTAATCAGCAGATAATCACATCCTGGTGTAATTAGCAGGTATAGGACACAGCCAAGTATCTCTAATGCCTTAGAGTGTGATTATAATATGATGGCTCTACCCAGTAGGTTGCCTGGTTTTCATTGTAAAAATATGTAGTTTTTGGTAATGAGGTTTTTTTTTTTAATGAACATTTCTCTTTCTGAAACATATTTGAACAGGGATAGTTTGGAATATTCAACAAATTTGATATATAGTTTACCACCTGTGAAAGTTTTTTCTCTATAATCCAAAGTCTTGCTTATATATATGCCATTTTTACCAATATCCAAAGCTTCCATGATAAAAGTAATTAGCAAATCAATATTTTATCTGAATATTCTTTAATTTATCAAGATTAAAATTCAGTAGAAAAATAATAACTGAAGAGTAACTGGATATTCTAGTTCTGGAATTTCAGCCAAATAATTCTGCTCTCAAGACAGCCTTCATCCTTGATTTTAATAGCTTGACATGGCTGAGTTTTTATTTTCACCTTAAGAAGTCAGCAAGGATACCTAGCAGGAAAAAATTAAGTAACAGTGGTTTGTTTGTAGTTACATCTTTTGTGTGCTAATAGCTCAGTCACTTTCTTGGAATCACCCAATCAATTTAGATACTTTGTGTTGTCTCTGTCTAAATCAAATGAAAATTGGCCGACTTGACATCTCCATTGTGTATCTTTCAATGATGCACTTACAAAGCAAAGACTTGTAGAATACAACAGGGATCCCTGAAAACCATGACATGTGCTTTGGTTTGGAGATGGTTATTTGTGTTTAGTATGTCTGAGGGCTGCAGAATCCAATAACAACAACAGTTTTTTTGTTTGTTTGTTTGTCTGTTTGTTTTATATCTTTGTTTCTTAGTGCAACAGCGACTACGTGCCTGTGTGTGGCTCCAATGGAGAGAGCTACCAGAATGAATGCTACCTGAGGCAAGCTGCCTGCAAACAGCAGAGTGAGATTCTCGTGGTCTCGGAGGGATCCTGTGCCACAGGTACACACAAGTGTCTCTGAAAAAGATTGTGAGTCCAGTGGCTTCTTGTCTCCATTGAGCTCCGCAAACCAAACTTCCTATATATGGACTAGGGGTCCGTTTATTCTTTATTCTTTTGTACATTATTTTTGTGGATTGTGGGTTTTTTAAATTTTAAATACATCTACAAGAAAGAAGAAATGTATCTTCTGACAATTGGTTTCTTTAAATACATATGTTGACTACTGAAGATCAGACAGTTGAATAAAATGTAATTAGAAATCTGAGTTGATTGCCCTCATACCAAATTTATAGGTAAAGATTTTGTTTGTTCAGTTGATTATTCCTTTGAGAAATAGAGTTGTCTTCTAAAGTGCACCTTTGCAAGTTTGAGTTCTGAAGATAACAAGTATTTTTGTGGAGGCACTGATGTTAAAAATTTTCACTGTAAAATGTGCTGGCTACCACTTAGCAGATCATACTGAAGAATGCATTGGCAGTGTGAATAATTTACACTAACATCTGTCTTTCTGACACAGTTAAATTCAGATTCTATAGAGCTCTTTATGTTGTTGTAAGAATGATGGAAGGAACATAGGGAGGGAGTAAGGAAGGGAAGGAGAAAGAAAGAAAGGAAGGGAGGAAGGGTAGGAGGGAGGGAAGGAAGAAGAAAGAAAGGAAAGAAGAAAGGAGGGAAGGAGTGAGTGATTAACAATGGAAGGAAGTGAGGAAGGAAGAAAGGAAGGGAGGGAGGGAAGGAGGGCAGAAGGAAAGGAGGGGAGGGAGGGAGAAAGGAAGGAAAAAAGGAAATAAGGAAGGAAGGAAGGAAAAGAAAGGGAGGGAGGGAGGAAGTCCATGTGATTTTTAGTTTTTCAGGGTAACTTGTTTTATTTTGCTGCTTGATTATTTTTGTTTACTTTTCTTGCCTTTTATTGTTTGCGTGTGTGTGTGTGTGTGTGTGTGTGTGTGTGTGTGTGTGTGTGTTTGCATACACGTACACACACAGTGGTTTTTATGACCCAGCAATTTACAGGTAGGCACGGTGAGCACCTGCCCAAGTAAACAGCGGCACAATACACAAGTTCTTTCAAAAACAGCAAAAGAGTGTTAGGGATTCTTTTACGTAAAAGTCCTTCTGGGATAACAGTTTTTTCTATATTAGGTTGTAACATGAGAAGTATGTGTTAGTTTGTTGGGGTAGGGTATAAAATGAGCAAGAGTAAAAGTCTTGACTCCCTTAGAAGACTGTCTTCAGCCTACTAAGTGTTGGGGGTGAATGCTACGCAAGGGTGCCCTACCACAGTTTCCAAAGGAGCAGAGGACAGTCCATCAGGCACACTTCCCAGCTACAGCGATACAGACTTTTGACTTTGTGTTGGTTATTAAGGTGTCTTTTTTGAGTGATTCTTTGCCTCTGGTTGTGAATGATCTATCTGGAAGATGGTCAGGATGGCAAGCCAGAGTGGCCTGTATTTACCACTGATTTGGCAAAGTGGGACGTTGCTGCTTGGGCTGGAGTGAAAAATGTGTATAAAAGTGACAGAAAGTGTGCAAGTCAGAGGGCAGGAGTCCCATGCAGAAGAGAACAAGAAGGCTAGCCTCAGAGTAGGCAGCAGGGCATAGAAATAACACTAAGAAACAAACTATGAATAAGTCACCAAGCCAAAAGGCAATATAAGAAAAAAAATACTTTAGAACTAATGGAACAGATATAAAAGGAACCTTTGGACCTCAGTTAACTCTGTGGACAGTAGGAAAAAAGCTTTGCTTATAATTGTCTAGGAGGAAAGCTAATTTGTACATCATCCAGGGAAAACCAGCAGGTAGGAAGCGGTCATAGAAGCAGACTAGGAGCCGAGGTTATGGCAAGTGGCATGGGTACTAAAGATGGTATTCTTTTTCCCAACCTCTGAGTCCTTGTCAGTCCACACACTCTGATTCATTCAAGTCTATTCATGCTTGTTCCCAGTGTGCTGCTTTTACTATGAAAATAAATACTTAGCCAAGTAGAAAATTTAATCACAATCAAAGAAGCTGTCCTTACCTCATTTGCATACGTAGATTTCTGCAGGATTTAATTAGTCAGCCAGTTTAGCTGAATGCATCTTCTGTTGACGAGTGAATCTAAAAGGGCTTCGGTCTGAGCAGTGATGGAGAAACCAAGCGATTAACCAGGCTTGACAGCAAATAAATTGGGGTTCTGACTTTTCTTCATAATTTTCCCATTTATTTTTAATGCTCTTTGACACTGAGTGGAGGTGGCAAGTTGTATTCTCTAGGAATAAGAGGCCAGAGAACACATTTATTTGTTCTGTGTCATTAGAGTTGCTACTCTTTATCTAGCATGTAGCCAGTCTCCTTGTAGCCAGTATCTCTGTTGGCTTAACTTCTTGCCTTGCAAGAACTGAGTTGATAAAGGGCCCAGATCTAGGTCCAAGAGTATCTTCTCTTTGCCAGAAAGTTTCTGCCTCACTGGGACTTTCTTAGTCTTCTTATTTCTGGCTTGCTCTGATGACTCATCCTACAATTGAGAAAACATTAAAGCTTCCAATAAGTATTTCATAATGCTGCTGTTGACTACAGTGACCATTTTTCCATTTATTCTCCCTTTTGTCCCCCAGCTATTTAATTTGGGTCAAATCAAACACTAATCATGTGGACTAAATCTCCTGAAATTTTAGAAACCTATGTGGGAGATAAAAGCCAAAACACAAAACACTCCTATTTTTTCCCCGACTTTCCCTAGGCACATACACACACATATATACATACGTATATATGTATATAAATATATATATATATATATATACACATATATTTATACTCAAAAGATTAAAGATCAATAGGCAAGATGTTTTCTCAACATTTTAGCTACTGTATTCCAGACAGTGCACACACATTTATCGTGAGCTGCTGTTCATTATATTCATTAAACAGAAGGAATAAACTCAGGAAGGTTGCTTAAGATTTCTCTTGTCATTTAGCAACCTGGACCCTGTGAACCCGGCTACCCTTTTCTTGATGTGTGTCAGATTCAAGTGTGGAAGGACAATCATCACATTGCCCGGCCTGGTGGAAGTTCCTGATTTTCATAGGAAATGAGAAATAGATTTCATATACTGTGAGCATATGGGCAGGATGTGATAAGCCTACTGCATTACAGCCAGTGACTCGGTCTCTTAGAATAAAAGTAATAGTGAAGTAAACTTTCTTTTTTTTTTTTAGACAATATATTTTATTTTTTTTAACTTTTATTAATTACACTTTATTCTTTTTGTACCCCCCCATAAGCCCCTCCTTCCTCCCGTCTCGGGCCCACCCTCCCCCCGTTTCTGCATGCATGCCCCTCCCCAAGTCCACTGATAGGGGAGGTCCTCCTCTCCTTCTTTCTGATCTTAGTCTACTAGTTCTCATCAGAAGTGGCTGCATTGTCAAGGTTCTAGGTTATCTCCATGGATAGTCCTTGGTTGGAGTATGAGTCTCTGGGAAGTTCCCTGTGTTCAAATTATCTTGTTCTGTTGCTCTCCTTGTGGAGTTCCTGTCCTCTCCAGCTCTTACTATTTCCCATTTCTTACATAAAATTCCATTCACTCTGCCCATCAATTGGCCATCAGGCTCAGCATCTGCTTTGACAGTCTGCACGGCAGAAGCTTTCAGAGGCCCTCTGTGGCAGGTTCCTAGGTTGTTTCCTGTTTTCTTCTGGCTTTCATAGGCCCTCTGTAGCAGGTTCCTAGGTTGTTTCCTATTTTCTTTTTCTTCTGATGTCCATCCTCTTTGCCATTCAGGGTGGGGACTGAACATTTTAGTTAGAGTCCTCTCTTTTGCTTAGCTTGTTTAGATGTACAGATTTTAGTGGGTTTATTCTATGTTGTATGTTTATATGAGTGAGTATATACCATGTCTGTCTTTTTGCTTCTGGGACAACTCACTCAGGATGATCCTTTCCAGGTCCCACCATTTACCTGCAAATTTCATGATTTCCTTATTTTTCATTGCTGAGTAATACTCCATTGTATAGATGTACCACAGTTTCTGCATCCATTCTTCAGTTGAGGGGCATCTGGGCTGTTTCCAGCTTCTGGCTATTACAAATAAAGCTGCTACAAACATGGTTGAGCAAATGTCCTTTTTGTGTACTTGAGCCTCTTTTGGGTATATGCCTAGGAGTGGTATGGCTGAATCTTGAGGAAGCACTATTCCTAGTTGTCTGAGAAAGCGCCAGATTGATTTTCAAAGTGGTTGTACAAGTTTACAATCCCATCAGCAGTGCAGAAGGGTTCTCCTTTCTCCACAACCTCTCCAGCATGTGCTGTCACTTGAGTTTTTGATCTTGGCCATTCTGATGGGTATAAGGTGAAATCTCAGGGTCGTTTTGATTTGCATTTCCCTAATGGCTAATGACATTGAGCATTTCTTTAAGTGCTTCTCTGCCATTTGATTTTCCTCTACAGAGAATTCTCTGTTTAGCTCTGTTCCCCATTTTTTAAGTGGATTACTTGGCTTGCTGCTTTTCAGCTTGTTTAGTTCTTTATATATACTGGATATGAGTCCTCTGTCAGATAAAGGGTTGGTGATGATTCTTTTCCAATCTGTAGGCTATCGCTTTGTTTTGATGACAGTGTCCTTTGCTTTACAGAAGCTTTTCAATTTCATGAGGTCCCAATATTGATTGTTGCTCTTAGAGCCTGTGCTGTTGGTGTTCTGTTCAGGAAGTTTTCTCCTGTACCAATGAGTTCTAGGGTAAACTTTCAAATTAATTCAAAGTCAATTAAAATCTTAGCTATGAAAGTATGCTCAGAGGAAACTGAGAAAACATTGGCCTGGATTCAAGCACCAAGGAAACACCTGGTTCTGCCCCAAGGAAACAGTTTTGTCTCTAAAGAATGTTGTTCTAACTGGCGGAGTATGTTCCTGGTGCAGAGAGAAGTGCATGAGCCTTTTATGAACTGTAATTACTAAAATGTCAACTCATAGGATTGCAATCCTAAGTTAGTTCTATATTTGTTAAGAAATAAATATAAAATATAATAAACATATAGATAAATATATATTAGGAGATATATTTAAATATATTTATATTAAATAATATTTTATATATATTATATATTGTAGGTATACTTGTTTAAAAATATATTTCATTTTTGTCTTATATCTTTTTCTCTCTACTCTACCCTAACCCCTTCCATCACCCCAACACCAGATAAGAGAGAGAAAGTGCTAGTTGGAGAGGGGGTGCAGTTCTCTTAGCTGCTTCCTGCTGGTTAGGGTTGTAGGGTTCCTTGGAGCCAGTCCAGGCCTCATTTCAGGAGATCTCCATCTTCTTGTCTCACAACAGCAACCAGGAGCAGCAAGGGGGAACCAAGAGTGGCATTGTTCTTTCTCAGAGCTCTACACTCTCTGGGCGCTGGCATTTATTCTCTCTCCAGCATCCCCAGATTCAAACTATCTGCTGCTGGTAAAGACCTCTTTTCAGAGCCCACATGAGGCAAATAATCTGTTGCTGGGGACCATCTGAATCAGTCCCACATCCCACACCTGGTGCCAAACCAAAAAATATGTTTATATCCACAACAATATACAAATATATAAGGATATCTATTTATTCATAACACACACACACACTGTGTGTGTGTGTGTGTGTGTGTGCGTGTGTGCGTGTGTGCGTGTGTGCGTGTGTGTGTGTGTGTGTGTGTGTTTTCTATCAATTAGCTCACCTTTAAGCAAAGGGTATGGCCCAAAGACGTATGGGCAGTCGCGGTGGCTGCTAATGAATTAGTTGACATTCTTGTATAATACAGTGTTAATGTGAGTTGCCGCCAAGACTTACTGGTCAACTGCTACTTCTCCATGTCAGTGTTAATGCCAGAAAGTGGAATGTGCTGTGTGAGATGCACCCATTCTTCCATAACTGTCAGTTCCATGAATTTGTATGTCCCTGGTCGTTCTATAGAGTGTTTCTCAACAAAATGTCAGAGACCAGGAAAAAGAAGAAATGTTCCATATTAATTAAACTAAATACGAACAAAAATTCTTAGAAGAAGTTTTTGCTTTAAGCTTTGAATCCTGAGTGCAATTCTAATGTATAATAGTAACAGTATATCTGAAAGAAACTACAAATATTATCATATTACCTAGTATTAACAGTAGAAATCCACAATGAAACATATTTAGAATTCAAAGCAATAAGCAGAGAGGATAATATCTACATTTAAGAACAGATGGAAACTCTATAGTCTTGACTCAGACCGGGGAACTGGGTATTTCTGGAAGCTGTGTGCTCAGAAAAAGACACCTTTATCTACTTATAATGACTTTGAAGGGAGGCAGGAAGAAACAGAATAAGAAACAGCTCTGGGTGGTGTTTTTCTGCCAGCCTGTCTTAGAGTCTGCCCCACAGAAAGCACAAAGACAAACGCTAAGCTCATTTCTTCTTATTCAAAAGACAGTGCTTTCCCTGCAGATAGACTCCTCTACCGTGGGTATGTGCCTCAACCCACAAGGTGCTCCCTTAACACTTTTATCTTTGTTTATAAGCAGTTTATAAGAACACAAGTCTTCGTTATGTGTTTGCCACATATACTTCTTAGTTTTGAAAATATGATTACCAAAGTGTCTCCTCACGCCAAAGTCTCCAAATTCAGCCTGATCCAAGTTAAACCTGGGAGGATTGCCCACACTCAAGTTTAGGACTTTCCCCAAAGCTCTATGGTACTGGTCTTATAAAATTTAACAATAAAAAATGATATCTTACTTATATATCAATAGAATTAGATTTTAAATTGAGAAAATTGTGTATTAGCAGATTAAATGCTACTAATTTTCACATCAATGATATTTCAGCACTGAGATAGTAAACGAGCTGCTGGGGCAGGCTTGTGATCCCTGCACATTCCAGGTCTTCACACAGGAGGGCCAGGATTCAGGGAAAGCTTCCCTCCAAAGCAATCTACAAATCAGCCTGGGTTATAAAAGACCCTCACTCGAATGCAAACCAACACCAACAAAGAAAGGAAACTTGCATTGTTTATCCTTTATTATCTGTCTGATAGCCACTTATAAGTGAGTATATACCATACACTGCTTCTAAGACACCTCACTCAGGATGATCTTTTCTAGTTTCATCCATTTGTCTTCAAATTTTATGATTTCCTTGTTTTTAATTGCTGAGTAGTATTTCATTGTGTAAAAGTACCACAATTTCTGTATCCATCCTTCAGTTGAGGGACATTTAGGTTCTTTCCATATTCTAACTACTATGAATAAAGTTGCTATGAACATATTTGAACAAATGTCCTTTTTGTATGGTTGAGTATCTTTCAGATATTTACCCAGGAGTGGTATATAGTTGGATCTTGAGGTAGCATTCTTCCTAACTTTCTGAGAAAGTGCCAGATTGATTTCCAAAGCAATTATACAAGGTTGCATCCCTACCAGCAAAGGAAGGAGGGTTCCCCTTTCTCTGCAACCTCTCCAGCATGTGTCATCCCTTGAGTTTTTAATCATAGCCATTCTGATAGGTGTGAGGTGGAAACTCAGGGTTGTTTTGATTTGCATTTCTTGATAACTAAGGATGTTGAACATTTCTTTAAGTGTTTCTCTCCCATTCTATATTCCTCTGTTGAGAATCCACTGTTTAGCTCTGTACCCCATTTTTTAATCAGATTACTTGGAGTCCTCAAGAAGCTAAATAGCAAGGAGGACCCTAGGGAAGATAGAAAGAACTGGAGGGACAGGAGCTCCACAAGGTGACCAAGGTGACCGACAGAGCCAAAAAACCTGGGTCCGGGGTGGGGGGCTGCAGAGACTGACACTCCAACCAAGGACCATGCATGGAGAGGACCTAGACCCCCTGATTAGAGGAAGCCCATAGCTTCTCAGGTTCCATGTTGGTACCCTAGTAAGGGGATCAGGGGCTGTCTCTGACATGAACTCATTAGCTGGCTCTTTGATCACCACTCCTTGGTGGGTGCAGCCTTGCCAGGAAACAAAGGAAGATGATGCAGCCAGTCTGATGAGACCTGATAGGCTAGGGTCAAACAGAAGGGGAGGAAGGAGGTCCTCCCCTAGCAGGGGACTAGGAAAAGGGAATAAGGGGAGAAGAGGAAGGGTGGGTGGGACTGGGAGGTGATGAGGGAGGGGGCTACAGCTGGGATACAAAGTAAACAAATTGTAATAAAAGTTAATTAATTATTTTTTAAGAACTTCATCATTTAATATATTTTTTGAGTGATTATGAACTGCTTTTCCTTTTTTCTTCCCAGATGCAGGATCAGGATCTGGAGATGGAGGTAGGAGCTGTTCTCTTTCTGTATTTGAACGTTTCAGTGTACTATTGTGGGTACTTATTATACTTTTCCAAAGCAGGCATTTCAGAGAAACCTAAAGTTTGGATTTTAGAAAATAAAAACTACATGAACAGTTGTCCTCCTAGCTTAGTTACTGTATATGCCATGCCTATTTTTTGGTCTATTCATGAATCACAGCCATCTCATTTCATCATCCTCCTTGGTGCACTTGCTTGTGTGTGGTGCTAAGTTTGAAACAGATACAAACAGTGCCAAAACCTCCAAATACAAAATTGAACAAGTATTTAATAAGACAGAAAGACATGTTTAAATATTTGGTTTTTAAATACGTAATACTGTCCTCAACCACCTGTACTTACACCAGCACACAAGCAACTTCCTACAACAGAATTTTAAGTTTAAATCAAGACTGTTAGTTCATAAAAATAAGACGGTAACAACAAAAATTAAGTAAAAGGCAACCTGCTGTTATCTTTTCTTTCCTGATGAAGTAAATGTAAAGTTAATTTTATTAAAATGAGATCTGTTTTTGTTGCTTGGCTTGGTTTGGCTTGGGACAGGCTCCGCTGTGGAGCCATGGCAAACAACCGGAACTCTCTGTGCAGACTGGCCTGTCCTTGAACTCACAGAGTTACTTCTCTGCCCCGTGAACACTGAGATTAAAGCATGTTTCATCAAACTACGCCCAGGCAGCTACAATGTACGTTCTGATTATTTCATTTTATTTAAAGAATGAGAGAGGTAGAAACTTCACAAGTCCCATCAGATGTGCTTACAATATCTTATTTTTACATTAAATGCCCTTGTAAACATCCTAGATGCTTTTTCAAATGAAATCCCAACTGCCACTTTTATATACGCATCACAAGAATGAAACCCAACATATGACTAAGATTAATAAAATAAAAATAAATTTGAAATATAAATATTATTTCAATGATTTCGCAGACTATATAAAATAATTACTCTGAGTAAATAAAGAATGTGATGAAACCAAATAAAGGAAAGCTTTGTGTTCAGGAGGATAACCATTCAATGTTGTACACTTTATGTAGTTTGGGAAACTTGAGCCTTACAGGGAGAAAGGCTTAGCTAATTCAAATAAGCTACACCTGGAGAGCACAGAGGCGCACGTTAGAGCTCACTATTATCCCATAAAGGCTAAAGCTAAGCAGCAGTCAAGACTCAAATGCAGACTTGTTTGACAGCACAAGGCTCTGGACTGCTATTCCTATTTCAACAGGCTTTCTTCACTCCTAAGAAATCAAGCTGCGCCTCTTAGGTGATGAATATAGTCCTCTCAAGAAAGCTTCCCAGAGGCTTTAAAAGGGAGAGCCTGGAAAACAAATTCAATCTTAAAGATAGAAAACAGCGTGCCTGCATTGAAGTGCTTAAAAATAAGTCCAGTTTTAAAAATCTTGCTTTAGTGGGAAGTATTTTTTCTATGCAAAATTCTGTACAGTTTCTGAGCATTTAGCTTCCTTTGTAGACTAATCTGGCAGTTAGTCTGTTGAGACTAACTGTTCCACTGTTCACCCAACAAGTCTTGTTCTTCTGCTAGCTTGTTTATAATGAAACCAAAAAAATGATCCACTGCACACAGAATGTCTTCGTTGTCATGCTGAATTTTCACCATCCTCTTCCCCCACCTGATTTTCCCAACCAACATGCATCTTGTCTTGATTTTTAAGTAACAACCTGTGCTGTCTGTGCAGGTAGTTTCCAGTCGTTGATATTAGCATAAGAAAATAGAAGCCAAGCCAAGCCCATCCTTCCTTGTTACTTTTAGATTGAACCGCTTGGTTCCTTGTGCTCTCCTGTGACCTGAATAAGGCTGTTTGCTTTTAACGGAAATCATTTTCTTCTTACAAGTATGACATTGGTTACATGGTTCAAAACTAGCGGGATATATCATAAGAAACAGTTTTTTTTTCCCCCAATTTATTTTCCCCTTCTCTCACCTGTACTCTCTCTTTCTTCTTAACTCTTTCTTTTAGTTATAGGCACCTAATTTTTTAGGCTTTTTAAAAAAGATGTGTTTGTTATTCTTGTTATTCAGATAGCCTCAGTTTGTAATCAGTTCAGCCTGGACAGACTCACTAAGTATACTAGGCTGATGTGTAGTTCAGCGCATTTATCATGTTTCTATCTCCCAAATATTAGGTCTTCAGACAGGAACTAGCACATCTGACCAAACCGATTCAAAAGATATATTGGCTTATAAGAAATAGGACATATAACCCTTGGAATCTGTGGTTCTCATCCTTCCTAATGCAGTGATCCTTTAACACAGCTCCTCATGATGTGCGACCCTCAACCATACAATTATTTTATTGCTACTTCATAACTTTAATTTTGCTACTGTTATGAATTGTAATGTAAATATTTTTGGATATAGAGGTTTGCCAAAGGGTCACAACTGCTGCTTTGAATTCCAAGTTACAATCTTTGAAATAAGAAATGTTCTGAAAAATTTAGCAATATGAATAAAAGTTTTAAATTAGAAACAAAACTGGGATGCTAGCCAGATTGGTTTTCCCCCCAGCTTATATGTTATTGTATTCTGTGGTATTAACAGCTTTGAAATCTATTTAAACTCTTTATTCCAAGATACCAAACAGCTTAGAGACTACAATAACAAAGATAAACTTAAGTTCGGGTCACATAGCCCTTGGGTTGGCAAAAATGGATTTGGCTTACTGCCTCTAAGGTTCTTAGAGTGGACTGCCTTTTTATTAAGAGGTCCTGAAAGCTTCAGTGGACCTAGGATCTTCCTTTGAATGAATCAGTGGTTGAACATGCTGTGACTGTTCTAATGGGAATATATAGGAATTAGGTCATCTTTGCAAGTACTTTGGAAGATTGATGGTTGTGTTTATAACACCTTATCTGATAGAAAGTTCATATGAGTCTCAAGTACAGTACATTGATATGACCAGTGAAATAAACAAATATGCCTACATATATTTGTTGTGTGTAACTTGCCATAAATGAAATGGTTAACCATCATAGCTAAATTTATTTTTTAGATGAATCAATTTTACTTGTTTTAGATTGGCTTGTTTGTAAATGGATGAGTATCATATTAGCGAAGAAAATTAGACATGATTATTTTAAGAAAAACTTAAGCTTTACTCATTTACCCAGAACATAACTGTTATTTACCATGATTGAGGAAATTTTTATCATACATAAAATGGATATAAAGGTTTTATAAAATTAACATTTTGGACACTTTTGGAAGTTAGCTATTTTACTGCTCAGGTCAAACTTTTGAACTCATTTGTTTTGTTAGGAAAGTGTGTTTAACTGTGTCTCCAATATGGGATCTTCACCTTGTGTTCGTCCATTCAGAGCTCTGCAGAGGAGCTAGGGACAATCTCCCCACATGATCATTTAGGGTGGCTTTATGCACTTCAGTGTTTGCATCCTCATTCTTGTGTTCAAGAAAATTTATAAAAAATAAATTTACATTGTTAGTTTTGAACATAAGAGTTGTGGTGTTCTGTGTCCTTTCAAAAATATTTGAAAGATCATCAGCATCAAATAGTCCTTTGAATTGGTTTGCACTTGAAAAACATTCAGGATAAACTATAACTTGATGTTTTGTGTGCTAGAAGGTAATGCGTGGACCACACTCCTAAGAACTTGAGAATGTGGCTGAATATGATTAGCAACTCAAGTGCGTATAAGTATGTATTTGGAGATTTAGTGTTGTAAATACAAAAGTGGTGTACGGGGGAGGAATGAGCACCTCCTAGCTACCCACAGACTTCCTTAGGCAACAAATACTTCAGGAAGAAAAAGTATTAAAGCAGCCTATTCTCAAGATGTAGGGCTGTGTGGGTGCTGAGAGAGTCCTTTCAGCTTTTCTATATCTTTAAGCTATATTATAAATACAAGGTTTTTAATATTTTCCTTCATTCCCTTTCAAAATACTTTTGGATTGCTTATATTCTCATCAAATTCCTAAAGATTAAAAAAAATCCACAAAATGAAACCCAGTCTTAACAACTAAAATATTTACAGATGTGCTGTCCTGTTGTACAGGAGGCAAAATCTGTAGTCAGCTCTTACTAACATTTTCTGAAAGGTCTGCAGTAATTGTAGAATTAAATATGTATCTGAGATAATGCCATAAATGCAATGGTATGCTTTTATTTCATGAGGACAAGGAAGCACCTAGCCAACACGCACTACTGCAGAGTTCTACATTTCCAGGAAAATTTACTTGCTATGTTTTCTTGAGAAGAAATTTCCTGGTCTCAAATGTGTCATCCTCCTGCCTCAGCCTCATCTTCTGATATTAAAGCCACACCTTGCTTCTAAGAGAACTTTTAACTAGATTAATAATAAATATGAATGGTGGTAAGTTAAATTTATAACTAGTATTTGTATAGTTTGTATGAATGTCAGAGTAATTAATATTAAGATAATTATAGGTGTACAGATTTTAGTAGGTTTATCCTATATTATATATCTATATGAGTGAGTATATGCCGTGCGCATCCCTCTTCTTCTGGGATACCTCACTCAGGATGATCTTTTCCAGATCCTACCATTTACCTGCAAATTTCATGATTTCCTTGTTTTTCATTGCTGAGAAATATTCCATTGTGTAGATGTACCACAATTTCTGTATCCATTCCTCCATTGAGGGGCATCTGGGCTGTTTCCAGTTTCTGACTATTACAAATAAGGCTGCTACAAACATGGTTGAGCAAATGTCCTTTTTGTGTACTTAAGCCTCTTTTGGGTATATGCCTACGAGTGATATAGCTGGATCTTGAGGAAATGCTATTCCTAGTTGTCTGAGGAAGCGCCAGATTGTTTTCCAGAGTGGTTGTACAAGTTTACATTCCCACCAGCAGTGGAGGAGGGTTCCCTTTTCTCCACAACCTCTCCAGCATGTGTTGTCACTTGAGTTTTTGATCTTAGCCATTCTGATGGGTGTAAGGTGAAATCTCAGGGTCGTTTTGATT